TTACAATCGATTATTTAAAATCAATGATCATCGATTATAGATGTTCACCGATTCTAAACAAAAAATCAGTTATATTCAATTTTAATAATCATCGATTATATCTGATTGCAATCGATTATAATCGATTATAATCGATTATTAATAATCGATGATAAGCGATTATTGGATAATAATCGATTATAATCAGATATAAAATTTCCTGATGTATATTATTAATTATATATCTTTTGAAAATAAAATAAGTTATAATATTATATATATTATAAATTATTATTAATTTATATATTTTAATTATTTATATATTTTCATTTTTTTATTTAAAGCATTATTCTGTTCTTATATTTTTCTTAATAATTTATTTTTTAATATTAATAAAATAAATATTAAGTTATAAAGTTAAATTGAAACTTGTTCACTATAATAAAATTATTATATATAATTTTATAATTTCTTATACTATAAAAATCTTTACATAATAAGATTATTATATTTTTTATACTTTTATAAAATTTTTTTTCAAAAATAAAATTTCTTGGTAACTGATTTTGTACTTGATATTAATTAATAATTTTATAATTAAAATATTTTTTATAGTGTATATAATATAGTCAAAATTTCAAAAATTAACATGTTCTAAAAAAATTTTTTTTAATTATTTTATTAATTAATATCAAATAAAATCAAGTTTAATAATATTAAAAATATAATAGATTTTTGAATGTTTTTATATTAATTATAAAATTTTTTATATATTTTTTAAATTGAACTAAATATAATACAAAGATCTAAATTCAATTTATTAAATTAATAAATTATTTAAATTAAAAAAAAATAAAAATTTCATATTAAATTAAATAAATATAAATATAGTTTATAAAACTAATTTATTTTATTTTTATTTATTACTTAACACTTGTTATATTAAAAATCAGACTATATTATTCAAATAATTTTAATTATTTACTAAATTATTATTATATTTTACAAAAAAATATATTATATTATAAATTTTATTAAAAATTATTTTGCAATATAATTTTTATACTTATATATTTAAATAAAAAGTCTTTATAATTCAAAATATTTGATATTTTTAAGCTTTTGCATTTAGTACTATAACACAAAAATTAAAGAAACTCGAAATTTCAAAAAAAATTCTTATAAATATAACAAAAACAAAAAAATGCAAATAATACGAAAATTTTATTTCAAATATAACTTATATTAACATATTAATTAAAAATTTATATAAAAATCTCTAACTTTATAGGTATCGGTTTACAAGTTTCAAATAAAGATAAAATTACTATTTAATAATTTTTATTATTTTTTTTTAATTCATTACTATTTTTTCTTTGATAATGCCAAACAGATTTTGATTTTAGTATATTACATGAAATCAAAGATAATAAAGAGATTTCAAGTTGCTTACAAAAAAAATTACTTTACTTTATGCTTTATTAATTAAGTTAAATTAACAATAGTAATTTTCTCGGACTTTTTCTCAGATTTCCCACTTTCCTGCAAAAAATATTTTTAATTTTTCCCAAAAATTAAAAATATTTTTTACTGGACTTTTTAATTTTGAGAGTCTACAAATATAATTATAGGTTTTAATAGAATACAACGACTAAACTTCTCTATAATTTATTATATCCACGTCAATAAATTGACTTCTTTTTATCTAAATTACACGATATTTGTTCCGAGCAAAAAATATTCAATATTACTTGCAATCGAGTTACCAACTCAATTCATGCATAAACTTCCTTTTTGCACTCTAAGTAAACTCACAGTACACTTTTTTCCCTGAAAACTCAGTTAGTTTTTCTTTTTTTCCTGCAATGAAAAAGTGCACACTTTTAGTTTGCCTTTTTGGGAGCGTCACATTTTAATTTTTCACGCCAACAAATAGCCCAGGAAATCGTGTTTAAAAATCTTTACTTTATTGAAGGTATTTGTTTTTGAAATTGAAAGATTGTACAAGTCACACTCGTTACAATGAACTTGAATTCAACCAGTCTATAATAAATCCTCTTAATATAGTAATATAGTTAATTTCTTAATAAACTCTCGAATATAGTGAATTTTTGAAGGATTTTCCTATAACAAGAATGACTTATATTGTGAAAATATATAATTTAAGAACAATATGGGCTGGAGTCATAGAAAAGGGATAAATCTATTAGAGGAATTTGTCCCTTTTCCACTGACTCCACCCCGTATATATATTCGGAAAGCAGACAAAATCCATATGTTAATAATTTTTCATTATCTCAGGTTTAAAATAATACAAATCAAATAATAAGAAGTCTATTGGTGTTTATTATTAGTATCTATACTCCAATATTGTTTTTTTTACATTATTGTAACAACTTTTTTTGTAAGTCTATTATTATCGTTATACTCAAATGATTTTGTAAAAATCAGGTGATCTATAAAGAAAATTTGATCAGCGAATATGTGCGTACGTTCGTAGACGTATTAGTTGATCAAAAATATTTTTTACCGTTTTGAAAATATACATTTGCAAGTCATGTAAGCAAACTTCTCTACGATCAACTAAGAATTCAACAGCAATTGGCGCAAGATTAATGAAAAGTTCTTGTTCTGCTCCCATATTTGCTACTGGGAATTTCTTTAAGGTCGGAAGAATCAAAATTTTTGATCGATGAAAATTTCCGTTTCTTCTTTGGATTACTGTGGTCAGTAGCGTGATTATCTGTGGTGCATGTGGACGGAGCAGGCCTTTTTCCTAATGCTTTAGATGATGGGACTTGATTAAATGCCTGTATTTGTGGTGTAGCAAGTGGAATATTCAAAGTGCTATCTCTCGAGTATTGTCTACTTAGATTATTAATAGTAGGTGATTCGCAAAGTTGTTCTATTGCTTCTTCATTTAAAAGAGAGTCTCCATTGTCTGTGTTCATGGACAAAATGGAAGGCATAGATCTTGATGAGGAAGCAATGCTGCGATTCTGATGTCGATATGATGAATTTGAAGAGGTTATCTGATTTCCTGAAGACAATTGTTTATTATTTTGTAAAATGGCTTGCTGGAATTGACTCGCAGAAGTCGTAATTTTTTCTCTTTCTGATGATTCATTATTATTGCCGTTGAGTTTTAACAATGTTGTAAAATTAGATGATGAGGCGTTTATATTATTTGTGACTTGATTTGATCGACTAAAGTTATTCACTACTTGTGATATCTTTGCACTTCCAGCAGGATAATAATCACCAGCATCATGGTTAGTCATAAAATGACATTCAACTCGTTCGAGGAAGGGTGAATTTCCTTCGACAACTGTTAGAGTTTGAGAATCGCTATCTTCTTCAGACGAATCAGGATTCTCGTCATCTTGGATCTGATCGATATTAATTCTATAATGATCATCTTCATAAATACCATCACTCGAATTGGCAACAGGCTTATTGTATATCATTTTTAATTGTTTGAGTTCAAAACCATCTTTGTTTGTATCACCAGACAATGTTGGAATAATATGCTTTATAGCATATGCTCGTAGATAATTCCATGAATGATCATGCAATCCTGGATAAAGTCTATAAATTAAGTTGCCGTATAGTCCTTCACCTGCATTTCTTTGAGAAATAAGATAATCACGAAAATTTTTGACTTCATCTTTAGTAAGTATCACTTTTGGAGGTACATTCCAAGTTTTATTATTTTCATCGCTTTCATTTACAATAGATTGTCCATCATCGTCGTCATAATCATCATCATTTTCAGATTCAAGAGTAACAGATGATTGTCTTGAAGTGCTAAAGTTATCACTTTGTTCTTGACTTTCCCTATAGTTGTTATTAACAGAACGTATTGGTGTGACGCTAGCACTACTCTCTCGCAAATCGCTGCTACTTCGTATTTGCTTTACGGGCGTACTATAAGCACCGCCTGACTCAGATTTAATTGGTGTGACATTAAAGCTATTTTGCTCTCGCAG